TATCAGTCTCACTCGTGATCGCTTAACCTCTAAACGACCAAGCCGGCATGTCTAACTCCAAACAATCCACGAAATTGCGTAACCGTCCACCACTGTCTTTAGTGAGTTGCTATTTCACAAGAGATTTAGTGGTTTAGAGAATAAGCGTCCGCGCGTGAGACTGGTAGGTCTTGTGTTCGAATCTTGCGGGGCGCAATCGTGGGTGTGCACCTTTGAGGTGTCCCTGACCAGGACAAAACGGCCGTCCAATGCTTCCAGGTTTTCCATGATAGTCTAGCTTCTTATGACTCATGAATTCAACAACTGAATTTGCCCACACACTTTTGTATAAATGGATGAGTATTGAATAAAAAGCATATAATAGTTCATTTACATTATCTTGGTTTAAAAACAAAAAAGAACAGGCAATATATAATAAACAAATTTATTCGCTCTTTAAAGAACCTAAACATTGTATATGATATACACAGATATAACTAAGATCGTATAGATTAACAGAAAAACCAACCCCTCTCCCCCCTCCAAAAACCGTATAAGATCATTCTTGCAAAGTATTCCTTGGACGATTCATAAAATGGCTGTGACAATTATTATCTTTCATGGAATAACCTGTAAACTATGCGACAATAAAATATTTGCTTGTATATTTATATCAACAACAAAAAAAATTATGTTTATGAAAAATTTAGTTTTTGCGTTGGTATGTTTCTTTTGTGACTTAAGGCTATATCGAGGCAATCCGCATATGATACACATATGCCAACATAATACTGATCAATTGCAGTCCTAAATAACAATGGAAAGATACATGTAAAGCAACACCAAGTGTTTTTTTTTTGTTTTTCTTTTTGTTTTTAGAAAAAAATATTTTAAAAATGGAATTTGGCAACCATAAAGTTTTATAAATTATTAACATTATGATACTTTTATAAACTAATTCAAAAGGTTACTAACGCTTAGAAATCAGTTCATCTTTAGAATATTCTGCTTATCGTGGCACAACTTTTTTTGTTCTTACTTTATGTATGGGTTGGAATGTTGGAAAGAACATTAAAGGGAATAGAGAAAACAATCCTTATTTTCTTCAATAATGACATGTAAAGATATTTCAACAAGTTATCTGTTTCTTTTGTTTGTTTTAATACATCATTATGGTCATTGATCGAATAACTTATTCAAGCGCGTTTTTTTAAAAGTGTACACCATTTCATTATACAAGTTATAAAAGGTTCAGTCAGAGATATCGTGGTCGCTGACAATATACAACGAAAAGAATGTACATTATTTTGATGTCGATTGACTGGACTGGTAATTTTTAAATGGTGATCACTTAAAATTTATCGTCAAGACCGATCAAGAAGTAACAAAAAAGAAACTTGCTGAAATATTTTGTGCTGAAATTTCTATATTGTGCCAAAAATATAATATTTGAATAAAGCTAATAATAATATAAGATAGATTAAGCTAAATTTACAATGAAAAGCTATAACTGATAAAATAAACCATATCAAAAATCATTCATAAATCGACGAATGGTATTAACTAAGTATACTGCAGGTAGATTGATGGTGTGAAATTAGATCATTGAACTCCAATTCAGTGATCAAAAGGTATCTTATACATCTAAAGATATAAACTTTCTAAGCTCAACCCAATGTCATTCTGTGTTTATAGACTATTCGGTAAACTCCAAAACAAAACATCAAAACTCTGTACTGTTCTGTCGTACCTTCAAATGAATAAATAAGGGACATTCATATAATAAACTTCTTCATTGAAACTCATTCCTGTACACTAGTCGATAAAAAAAATTAATTTATAGATGGACGTATTTGTGGTGGAATTATGGTAAATACACCGGTTCATTTACTTTTTTCTGAAGTAAAAGCATGAAGTTTATGAGTTTAAAATGTTATTTAAAAAATCATTTTGTATTGTTTGTTTAAATCATCCCATTGTTGTCTAGGACTGCAGTTGATCAGTCACTTATCAGCATATGTGCATGCTGTGCATGTTGCCTTGATATTGCCTCAATTCACAAGCATTATAAACAAAGATGGATATTGGCTAGCAGTGCAATCTAGGACTCGCATTTCGTCCTATTTGTGACTCGTCAGCTGGATGTACTTGTATCTGAGGGTTGATATTCCCTCAGAGACTCGAACCCAGTACTGTTTGCTTCAAACGTCACTACTATCCACTTAGCTACTGAATTCTGATATTTACTTGCTTGTGTAATGTGTTGAAGTTTAAATTTACTTGGTATCGTTTACTGGAATATATGATCTTATGGATAATCAAAATTAAACTATACAACCATAATCAAATGATGTTTATTATTTTCTCTGTGTTTTTCTTGTTATTTTTGGTGTAATGTTGTGGAGATGACGTGAAAAGACTAAGAAATTATGTATCTGTAATTTAAGTCGAGGGATAAATACATAATACAAAACAGAATTCGGTTATTTAGAGATTTCATATAGCCATCTTAACCACATCTAAAAATTAATCAAAGGATCAAATGGATCTATTGAAGTTAGACATTAACGCCGTTGAATATCGACTCATTGACCTACAGACTAAACGTAAGCGCACGAAACAGAAGGACCTGGATACCATACCCATTTGTGGGATCGTGGATGCAAACTGCTCGATAGTCCTTACTAGTATGTAATGGTAGTTCAGTACCTCCAGATTTTCAATGGTTGTCTAACCTTGATTAGTTTATAAACTCAATAGAATTACACCTAATTTTTATTGTAAAAGCAATTACTACTGATAAAATTGGTAGTTATACAAGTTTTTAACTGAAAACATAAATTTATCCCCATAATGTATCTTTAAGGCCAGTACATTCATCAATAAATAATAAATTATAATATACAAATTACACTTAGGTTAATTACTTTACGATTAATGAAATGTACTGAAACGTGCTGTAAGAAACATCCTTTTTTAAATATAGAGAATTATATTTTTAAGGTAAACAAAAATCTATTTTGACTTTTAACAATTTGATCAGTAATAGATAACCTGATAAACTTTTACAGAAGCGAAAATAATACAATCAGTATAAAATATGAAAATGTTTCCTGTATTTGAGAAATAAAGAGTTATTATCAGAAGGGGTTTTGTGGTGATTTTAGTAATTTTATAGTTAAATTCATGAAGCTAAACCACCATGGAAAACCTGGAACTACTGGATGGCCGTTTCGTCCTATTGTGGGACTCTTCAGCAGTGCGCATCCCCGATCCCGCCCTCAGAGAGATTCGAACCTAGGATCTATCAGTCTTACGCGCAAACGCTTAACCTCTGAACCATTGAGTCGGTCGGCATCCTACGGTGTTAACGTCTAACTTCAACCAATTTATGAAATTGTATGACCGTCCACCACTATCTTTAGTGAGTTACTATCTCACATAAGACCCGGTTGAAGTTCACTGGTTATTTACCTTACCAAACTGCTTAGAAGTACTATCATTTCAACAAGTGTGTACTAATATTATAAAAGATTGACTGAAACCTGTCGACTAAATGTATGTCTGATTACTGGGTTATCATTCTAAACTGAATTTATTCGTAAGAAATGAATAATAAACATTAATGTTCATTGATAACTTTGAATTTCTTAGGTGAACTGAATCGGTATATAATATATAATGTCTACAAGCAGTGTCAGAATACTATTTAAACAATTTGCATTGAGATAAGTTCCCATCCTCTTTGTTTCAATGATCAGCGAATAGAAAAAAAGATGTTTTGAACTTGTGTTTGAATCAAATCCATTTGGTTATTGGCTTAAATATATGATGATATTAGTGATCGAAATCAAATTATGCAACCGTAATCGAACGGTGTTGATTATTTTCTTTATCTTTTTTTATGTTATTGTTAGTATAATGTTGTGGAGATTGTTGAACTTCATCGAGATCAGAGTTAGACATCTAGAGAGCCATCCAACTAGATGCCCGTTTCTTCCTAGTGTGCGACTCATCAGCTGTGAACATATATAAGTGCGCAAATAGGATTCAAACCTTGAGGCTTCGGTTCCGTGCACAAACGTTTAAACTCTGGGTCGATGAACCGAGATCCAATGTTTAACTATAATGTTAATTATACTATAAAATTTGTGACAAACAATTCACCAGTTCATTCATTTTTACTGCTTTTATTCTACCAAAGAAATAATGTTGGTATTTTTAACTTATATAACAGCGATTACGTTTGATAATTTAACCTATCAAAGTGGTTGATTCATTTTTAGTATAGCCACTGTTTATAATTTACTAAGCAGTTTAGTCTCTTTATAAATCCTCATACAAAACCATTCACTGTTTAAGTTCATTCTTCATAAATCGACGATAAATTAATCAGTATCTATTTTATAGATGTTCACTTTCTAACCGAATCAGTGGAAAATTTTTCATTTCTTTTTTACAGTATACTTAGTAATGATATTCATAGTAGTTTGTATTACTTTCTTGATTATTTTATCATATTGAGAAAAGATTTTGTGGAGATTTTAGAAATTTCACTAGTTGAAATCATGAGTCAATTGAAACTAGATCACCATGAAAAATCTGGAAGCACTGGACGACCTTTTCGTCCTACCACAAGACTTCTCAGCAGTGCGAATCCACGATCTCGCCCCCCTCGAGATTCTAACTCAGGATCTATCAGCCTTGCGCGCGAGCGCTTAACTATTAGACCACTGAGCCGACATCCAACGCTGTTAATCTCTAACTTCATCCAACCCATGAAATTGCGCCACCGTAAACCATTGTCTTCAGTGAACTGACATCTCCACAAAATCCCTTCTCATAATAATCATCTGCTCACTAGTGACTGACCTCAAGAGACATTTCCTGGATTTCTAGTGAGCAGCCAGGTCTGTTGTGAGATATTTTATTATTATTTAAATAGTGCTTAATAATAAAACTTGAATTCAAAACATTTTATATGAATTACATTACATTAAATCTAATAGTACATGGCTTACCGACAAATGAAACGTCCAGGTTTACATATTGGTACAAAATTCTCATTATTATTACCATTATCATTCATATAACTATGGTTATTATCACCATCCAATTTTTCTATTTTTAAAGTACCATTTTTTGTCCCATTCCCATTTTCATTTAATATACAACTATTTTTTATTTGATTATTTTGTTCTTCATTCTGTAAACTATTTTCATAGTTGCCATCCTGATTAATATTGTGTTTTTCATTTTCTTGTATATGACTTGATTTTCCATTAGTTTGTTGACCATTTACTTTCCATTTTCTAAGACCATTGATTTCTTTTTTTAAGTAATTATTACAGTGACCATTAGAAATTGACATTCTGAGATGATGATGATGATGATGATAATTAGTGATTCAGTGAAGTATAATTTGTATATTTATACAATAGTATTTATTGGTGTTCCTTCTTTTTTATATTGCTGTTTTCATAAGAAATATTATTGGACATTGAACTAATAGTAGTAATGATACTACTATTAATAGTAACAAGTACCTTATTATGATTAATAATGATGTAAAAGAACAAAATAATAATAACAATAATAATGATAGTACCGGTTAGTTTATAGTAATTCTCTCATTTATGATTGGTTAAATAATACATTCAAACTTCTATTATATTTCCATGTGGTCTAAGACATTTTTGGTTCTTTTTTTTGTGAACTATTGTTAAAGTGTGCATCATTCAAATAAACAATAAAGATGAAAATAACATAGAAAACACAAGTATATACAAAATTACAACACAAATACACACATTTACACATATGTACACTAATAATCTGACATGTATAGATGTGTATCCAAAGGATATTGGGATTAATTATTTACTACTGTTTACTATCACTAATTGAAATAGAGTAATTCCACACACACACACACACACACAATTTGTATTTTTTGTTGCTTCTAATTATAAAATGTTAATTATACAATCCACAATAAGGAATAATGAAATTCATTCAACAATTAGGATTTGTCAGTTAGTTTCAAATTGGATTTCATTTTATGATGGTATGGTATCTGGACAAAAAAAGTATTTACTTGATGTTAAATTCCATTAAAATAGTTTAGTAAAATTATTCTTTTTTTTTCTTGTTTTTCACTTCCAAGTATTTTATTCTTTGATGGTTATTTTGTGTGTGTGTGTGTGTATCTGTGTCTGTGTCATAAATATTTTGGAAAGAAATAAACTTCTTATTGTAGGTGTTGTTTTAAACAAATTTAAAGGTATTGAAGTTAAATAATTGAATTTATGGATTGAATAATGTTAAACTATTAGTGAAAACAATGAACGGTCATTTTGTCTTAGTATGAAACTACTCTGGCTAGCGTTTTTTTTAGCGAGTTAGTTTTCTACGGGATGGGGTCGCTAACCATATGCCTAACCCTTCTCCTTTACTCGAGCTTGGGACCGGCAGTAACTCTAGAAGAGGTACAAGTATTTATAAATAGTTGTCTACGCAAGATACTCAACATCCATTGGATGGATACCATTAGCAACAGCCTACTGTGGGAGAAAACAAACCAGCATTCAGCTGAGGAGGAATTCAGGAAAAGACGATGGAAATGGATAGGACATACATTACACAAATCATCAAACTACATCACGAGGCAAGCCCTAACATGGAATCCTGAAGGGAAGCTGAAAAGAGGAAGGCGAAAGAACATATTATATCGGGAAATAGAATCAGATATGAAAAGGATGAATAACAACTGGAAAGAGCTAGAAAAGATTGCCCAAGACAGGGTTGGATGCAGAATGCTGGTGAGCGGCCTATGCTCCATCACGAGAAGTACCTGGCGTAAGTAAGTATGAAACTACTCAATAGTACGTATCCATCCATGATCATGAAAAGTGGTATTTGAATCAAGGATTTTCGATCTAAAGCGATCTAACGCTTAACTCTTTAGATCGTTGAGCTGGCATTCAACGGTTTTGTAGTGGCTGTGCTTTGTTAACCAATCACCCTCGTAACCGTTATTATATAAACCTCAAAGGTGTTTGAGATCAGAAGGCAAAGCGAAGCAGTGACTACAGTTTATTAGCAGATAGCTCTAGACCACAGAGCAGAGAGGTGAATGAGTGAGTCAGATAGTCGAGAGTGTATAGGATCAAGTGTTTATATATATATAGGGAAATGAATGGCTCATCGAATCAAATAAACATTTAATAATAAAGCTAGCAGAATCAATAAATGCATAGGCAGTAAGCAATGTTCAAGCATATCTATTTCATACAAGCACAACAATAATAAACGTACAACGATATAGAAAAGTTGTTATAGTATGGATGACTCTGTCAGTCAAATAAGTTAACAAAAGGGCTCAGCCGAATTAAATGTGAACAAACTCAAATGCACGTGAGTTGCTATAGCGTAAATTGATTCATGATCTGTTCGTCCAATGCTTCCAGGTTTTCAATGATGGTCTAGGTTACATTGCCTTATGAATTCAATTATTAAAATTACTAAAAATCGTTACAAATTGCCATTCTGATATTGAAGTTATTTTAAAAAGAATTAAAATTATGAGGTAATGAAATTTTCGACTAACTTCAAATAGATATATATTCATGACAGCGTTTATACAAATGGACTTCTTAACTTATGGATAAGCGTACAGCCATAAAAGGAGTTGCTTACGTCATTACAATGTACTAAATACTAGTAGATTTAATGATTTAATAAATTAATTTAATTATTACTTTATTTAACCTTTTGATTGTTGTTTTATCTTTTCAGTGGTTGAGATCATGAGTCAATTAAAGCTAGACCACAATGGAAAACCTGGAAGCACTGAATGGCCGTTTCGTCCTGTTGTGGGACGCCTCATCAGTGCGCATTCACGACCGCGGGATTCGAAACCCAGGACCTATCAGTCTCGCTCCAGGCGCTTAACCACTAGACCACTGATCCGGTCGGTATCCAACGGTGTTAATGTCTAACTTACACTAATCCACGAAATTCTTTTATATCAATGAGTGCTTTTTTAGTGCATTATTTAAAAATGTAATGAGTTACAATCTGTTTTAAATGCTAACTTGTAACTGCCATAAATGAATGGTAAGTCGTTGAGTTGAATTTGTCTCTGTTTTATGCTTTGGTATTTACTGATAAATAATTAGAATTATCACTACAATTCCCATCACCATTGATTGATCACTAGGTAGTGATCGATGCCCAGTGTGTCAGGTCCTCCTTAGTGCAGATCAAATTCTATCGACCAAGTTACAATGTGGCTTCTAGTTTAGGTGACTGGACATCGCATAAACCGTGCTGTGATGATCAAAGTATTTTTTATGTATATAAAACAGTATATGATTTAATATATCATTACTTTCAGTTAGTTGAATACTAGAGAAATATTTCTGGTCTAGAAGTAAGAAAAGTTACATTGAATACATTTTCTCAATAATTCGATTTCCAACATCAGGTGAAAACACGAATATTGCTGAACTTATTTGCTCACTAGTGACTAGCTTCAAGATGGATTTTAGTGAGAAGCTGTGGCCAGTGGGGTTTAACCGTGTCTGTTGTTGGACATTTACACACTGAAAACAATGGTGGACGGTCGCGCAATATTGTAGATTGATTGACGTTAGACATTAACACCGTTAAATGCCGGTTCAATGGTCTAGAGTCTAAGCATTCGTACACCCTGCTTGTGGAGTCGTGGATGAGCGCTACGGAGGAGTCCTATACTAGGACGAAACGGACGTCCAGTGATTACAGGTTTTCAATGGTGGCCTAACACTGGACTATTCATGATATCAATCTGAACCTATATTTGTCAAACGAATTTGGTTAAACTCCATGCTAAATCGAACTATGAGTTATGATCAACCCACAATAAGTTTATACATTTTTATGATAATTAACGGGACAATTAAAAGTTCTAACATCAGATATAAGTAAATGATAATGTTTCCAATCAAATCTTCATCAAGCTTTAGTCTGTATATTAAAGTTTAATGAAGATCTAATCGTTTTCCAAATATGTTATTAAAAGAAATTATGATGAATTCCAAGTACGTTATGATTTTATAATGCAATGTTTGTGATTTTTCTGTTACCCAGTAACGTATGTATATCATTTCATGTTTTTTATGAAAATATTTATGTACTTTAAAAGTAGTTTTGGTCAGTAATCGATTCAATCTGGACATTCGTTGTAAAAGAGGAAACAACTGTATTTACCTGCAACCTAAAATGAAGTTACTATTTAAATAGGATGATTCTACGGCGAAAATTATTTAATGTCTGAAATATGACTGACTGGACCCCAACTAAATTAAAGAGAAATCCTGGGTACCACGGAGTGTGCAGATTGAAGGCCTTAGCACATAGCTATGTGGAATCGTGAGTATATAACTTAAGAAAGCCTCGGAAAAATGACAACGCAACAGTCAAGAGCTTATCTATTTTCAGGGATTTACCAGCACATATTTTAGCTAGCTGTTACTTATATTTTCATCTGTATTATTCAGAACTTGAGTTTTTCATTATTCGAAAAACACATCACACAATTTTTTTAGCCAAATTAGTATATACTACCTTTCCTTTATAAGTAAACAGCTTTTATTTGTTAATTATTCTGTTGTGGTAAATGGATCTGTGACGATAGTTAACTTAGCATACATTCTTTGTAGACGCTGAATCTGTTAGTCTTAAGAAAATTAACAAGATGAAAGCATTTTCCAAACATCATTGCTGTTTCTTAGCACCTTCACTGACGAAAATCTCTGTATATAATTTATAGATTAGATGGGTGCTTTTGAAATGGATGATTTAATCAAGAAACTTTTGTTGTCACTGCCCAGTACCACGTAAGCTTAGTTCAGTTAGAAGCAGGTATTTCGATTATGACACAGGCGTTAAGTTAGTCCATTCTGATGACAATACTATCAAAAGTTCTTGATTATATTTCTCTTTTTTTCTGTTCTCGTTGGCTGTTTTGTACAACTGACAGCTCACAGAAAGATGGATGATTTCTCCACAATAATCAATGATTAGACCAAAATCAATCTGTCTGCTAGTTTCCAACTGACTTGGATGGTATATTTCAAAATGTTTATTGAGATTCTTGGAGTTTCGTTTATTCGGTAATTTAATTTCCAACAGGTCTCCATATTTGTTAATTCATACTTCCAGGGACTGTCATTTTTAAATTATCATTATAAAGTGTTGGGACACATAAGACAGAAATGTGAGCTCTATCGGATCGAATCATCAAATTTTTGTATGGTTGGAGAGGTGTTCTTCATTGTCAAAGAGTTGTGATGTGATATCTTTGACAATACTTGTACCTAATGATGT